AGATAGATAGATAGATAGATAGATAGATAGATAGATAGATAGATAGACAGACAGATAGATAGATAGATGGTAGGGATAGACAGACAGACAGATGATGGAGGGATGATAGGGATAGATAGATGGATGGATGGATGGATGGATGGATGGATGGATGGATGGATGGATGGATGGTAGGGACAGACAGACAGAGTCAGATGGATGATGGATGGATGATAGGGATAGATAGATGATTGATAGATAGATAGACAGATAGACAGATAGATAGATAGATAGATAGATAGATAGACAGACAGACAGACAGACAGACAGACAGACAGGTATGGGTGATATGGATAGATGGAGATAGATAGATGGGTGGGTGGGTGATACAGATAGAAAGACAGACTGACAGATGATGGATGGATGATAGGGATAGATAAACAGACAGACAGACAGACAGAGGGCTGAAAGACAGAGCATAGGAGAGGGAGAACTCACCTGTACCAGGGGCACCAGGCACAGGAGTTGCCATCTTTCTGAACCACCCGAAGGGTGAAAGGGTACTGATATCCCAAGCTGTCGTCGCTAAGGAAAACACACAGACACGCACATCGTTATTTCTAATGTGCTAAGACTCTTCGGATTTAATTTCTGTCATTGCTCACTGATCTTTTAAGCCGGGCTGGGAAATTGGCAATCCTTGGACTCGGTTCAAGAATCGCTAAACAGGGCAGGGCCAGCATGTGACGCATCTGGCACCTGGGACGTTTGACCTTCCTGCTCTAGATGGATGTAAACCAAGATATTTTCACATTTCTCTTTTCTGCCAAGATAGCCCTTGAATAGGGTACATGTGGTCCTCAATTTACAGCCATTCATTTCGCAACTGTTTTGAAGTTACGATGGTACTGAAAAAGAATTGATTTACAACCAGTTCTTGCATTTAGGATCATCACAGAATCCCTACAGTCAAACTTTGGGCATTTGGCAATTGGCACGGGTTTACAATGATCACAGCCTCCCAGGGCTACATAATTCCCGTTTGTGACTTTCCCAGCCGGCTTCTGACAAAGCAGTCAATGGGGGAAGCCAGATTCGCTTAATGGCCACATGTTTCGCTTAACAACTGCAGAGATTCACTTAACAAGTGTGGGGAAAAAAAGGTCAGGTGTGATTCAATGAACAGATGACGCCTTGATTAGCGATGGAAATTCCAATCGTGGATGACAATTGAGGACTACTTGCAAACCACCAGTTAAATTTTATCCTGGACTAACTCGATACCCATAAAACTATGTGGTCGGGCTTAGTTTTTGGGGAGGAAAATAAGGGTGGGGAGGAATTCTGCCTCTGCCTACCAGCATCCATCGGTATTCATCTGGCTAGCATCCTGTCAGTGTGTGAGAGAGTTGAGGGCTGTTCGGAAAGTGAAACAGTATTTGCTGTGTGAGCAAGAATGAGACAGCAAGGAGCCTGGGCGTGGCTTAGCTCAACTGTTCTGTACTAAAGCTGCTTGGTGCTGTGAAACCGAAACCGAAACGCCTCTCCTCTGCTGGTGTTTTGCATTTGGAAGAGATTTCTTTTCAGGTGGGGAGGCGGAGTAGAACTCCATAGCATCAGAGCATGTTAATAATACTAATGTTCGAAATACTAATAGCTCTGATGGTCATTTCGAAAAATCCTTTCTGAGTGAGCACCTAGAAGCCAAGAGGAACATATGTGCCAAATTTCAAGTTTGTAGGCTTTACGGTTCTGGAGATTTTGTGATGATGTGTGAATGGTATTTCGCTTATATATATATAGATTATCTGATTTTCCCCTACATGCCTTTCTGAGTTAAAAGGCCTGATTGGAGAGACATTCCTCTGATTGTCCCAAGGTACTTTCTCTCTCACCCACTCCTACTTTAAATAAAGATTGAAAATGACTTAACCAGCCCAAAGCCATCTAGTGAGCTGAAAGACTGAGAATTTGGATTTGTCAGCTGAAGGCCAATATAGTGGCACCTTGGTAATCATCTTAACTGGTTCTGGAAGGTACGATGAGTATCAAAAATGATAAGTATCAAACACATTTTTCCCATAAAGAATAATGCAGTGAATCATAAGATAGCCGATACTGACATGTGCTAGCTTGTCCATCAAGTATCAAACAAACAATGAGGACCGGGACAAAACTTTCAAGGGAAAATATGCTGAGTATCAAAGCTGACAATAACAGATAACAGATAATCAGAGTTGGACGGGGCCTGATAGGTCATCTAGTCCAACCTCCCCGCATAAGTTGGAGACCCTACACCATTTCTGACAAATGGCAGTCCAATCTCTTGGATGAGTGTCAAAGCAGTTGAGTACCAAGGCACCACTGTACTCCAATAAGCCAAATGGGCTCTTCTTGCCATTTGTGCAGCTTGGCTCGCTTCTTGAGATGTTCAAAATTACCACACTGCAGCCATATTAGTGCAGTGAGCCCTTGGTGCTCTATAAACTCAGTTGTCTTGCAGACATTTCATTACCCAACTAGGTAACATTATCCATGCTAAAAGGCAAAATACCACTCTCTTGTTATCAGGGTTCTGGCAGTCACCCTAATAAAATCATGAGCCTCGAGCCAAACTTCAAAAACTATAAAGACTTTATTAGGAGCGAACATGTTGGCCGATTCTGAGACACATAACTCAATGTCACCCTTGACCCTGGTTTCCCCACACCTCTTTGGGTGCAATCATAATTCATGTTCTCCAACGAAACATGTTCATAGCCAAGAGTCATCAATCATGTTCTCCAATTAGAGATTTGCGTGCAGAAACTCCAGCCGCTTAGTTACAATCTTTGCAAGATATGAATGGAATGCATTTTTGGTTCCAAACTGCTGCTGAGTATCAAAGTCGACAATAACAGATAACAGATAACCAGAGTTGGACGGGGCCTTATAGGTCATCTAGTCCAACCCCCCTGCATAAGTTGGAGACCCTAAATTTTTGGAGAACCAAAAATCTTTCAAATTTCCTCCCCACCCCCGCTTCTGTTCGTGGCAACCCTAGAACAGGCATAGAAATGTTTTATGAGTTGACATTCTAGCACTGATGATGTTACCTAGTTGGGTAATGAAACGTTTGCGAGAAATCAAACCAACCTCAAGAGAGCGCCAAGGACTCCAACCCTGAGCTACAAATATTCCCTTCTATCATCTCTATTAGGAGCTCAGCAGTTCCTCATTCCAGCACTGGACTCACCAATCCTGAGCATGGTTACTTGCTTCCTGGGGAGGGAGGGGGCTTGCAAGCCGAGACACCTGAATCCAGACAGCATCATACAGGTCTTTCTTCCTTGTGTGAACTGTGCAGGGAACAATCAGAGGCATTCCAAACAGGCTTGGCCGGTTCTTTTGAGACGAGAGGAAGTACATTTCGGCCCGCATCTGCATTCAAGGGGGGGCAGAAAAAAAAACCACATGTATTTTGAAAGTTAGGAACAATTCGTAGACTTTCCTTTTGTAACAATCATGGATGGACTCTCTCTCTCAAGCAGTGTCTAAAAGCGTAACAACAAAATAGTAAAATGGCCCCAGCGTAATTAACAGCTACTCTTTGCCTGACATTTTTATACTTTTTATAATTTCAAAGCTTTTAATAATAATAATAATAATAAAAAATCACAAAACACAAAACCTGCCAATAGACATAGAGTGACTGTGGCAATGATAACAAAGATGAGAACCAATAGCGATAAGCAGCTTGGGTGTAATCCAAAACATCTGGAGCGTTATTTGAACACCGTCGGCATTGACAAAAATCTCCATCCGTCAACTGCAAAGGGCAGCTTTATTGCAACGGCTTGCATCCCGCAAGATTCTTTTAACACCATATAGCCATAACACTTTTCACAGCAGAAAAAGGGTGCAATGCAGTGGGGATTTCCAAAACCTTTTACATGAAGGTTTGGGTAAAACATCTGGCTTCAGTCAGGCCTGCTGTGCTTCTCCTGTGCCCCCCCATCCTTTCAAAGATAAGCCCTATCCTCAACCTTATGGCTGCCCATTTAGCACTCTGGAGATGCAGGTTAGATTGAAGAAACAGTTTCTTGCTACAAAAGATCCTTTCTTGGAATACAAGAATACCCTTGACTCAAACAATTCTTGTGGTAAGATGGGCAGCTAATAAATTTAATAAATAAATTTAAAAAACAAATAATAAATCAATCAATCACAAGGCAACTGGATCCATGGGTCAGTATTTTGGCTAAGAGGTCTGGAAATAAGTATCTCAACAGCTTTGGACAAAGTCACTCAGCCAAACTGTGATCGCAACCAAGGGTCGTTGACTATTCCTGCCTTTAATGCAGTGGTCCCCAACTTTTATGGCCTGGTAGCCCAGTGGGAAGGGTGCCAACCCACTGCTTGTGCGCACGCCTACACACCAGCCCACTGCAAATGCAAATTGAGCTGTGTGTGTGTGTGTGCCGGCCTCCTGCTTGTGTGATCTGGTTCCGAACAAGCAGCCCGGGAGTTGGGGATCCCTGCTTTAGTGACAAGGGTTCTACAGAGGAATTATTGAGTCTGTCATCTGCACCTCTATAACTGTCTGCTTTGGTTCTCCAACAGGACAGACACAGACTTCAGAGGATAATTAGGACTGCAGAAAAAACGATTACTACCAACCTGACTTCCATCGAGGGCCTGTATATTGCATGAGTCAAAAAGAGGGCTGTGAAAATATTTACAGACCCCTCACATCCCGGACATAAACTGTTTCAACTCATTCCCTCAAAACGACTCTATAGAGCACTGCACACCAGAACAACTAGACACAAGGACAGTTTTTTCCCGAATGCCATCACTCTGCTAAATAAATAATTCCCTCAACACTGTCCAACTATTTACAAAGTCTGCATTATTATTACTATTAAACTTCTCATTACTCCTTATCACCCATCCCCTCCCACTTGTGACTGTATGACTGTAACTTTGTCACTTGTATCCTTACAATTTATATTCCTAGTATGATTTGATTGCTTATTTGTACCCTATGAATATCATTAAGTGCTGTACCTTATGATTCTTGATGAATGTATCTTTTCTTTTTATGTACACTGAGAGCATTTGCACCAAGACAAAGTCCTCGTGTGTCCATCATACTTGGTCAATAAAGAATTCTATTTTATTCTGTTCTATTCTATTCTGTTCCGTTCTGTTCCATTCCATTCCTATTCCCTTCTGTTCTATTTCATTCCATTCCATTTTTCTAATTGCTATTCTATTGTATTCCATTCCACTCCATATATTCTGTTCTGTTCTGTTCTATTCCTACTCCATTCTATCAAACAGAGGGATTTTTTTAAAGTCCACCCCATAGATGGGCAAGCAAATGGTCGCAGCATGGGTACAGTTCACGTCTGAACCCCAGATATATTTTCCAAATAGCTGGTGGCCCTTTGCAAAGTTTGACTGTAGGTGCTTCATGTGAAACAGACAAAAGCATCTTACTGGTTTGGGCAAGGCTTGTTCTCCACTCACCATTTTCCTGTGGACCGCAATGATGTAGCCTATGAAGGGGCTGTCGGAAGGTGAGGTCACATGACCATTCATCGTCACGCCATTCTCCACCCTGCAGGGCACCACTGTGTTTGGCATTCCATTTGGGATCAAGGTTGACCGTGGGAGGTCCCCGTTCATCAGGCAGCTGATCACCCCGTTGGTCGACTGTCCACGGTAAAAATCTAAAACTCAAGCACAAAGAGGCTGTCGTCAAAATACGTCCTGGTATGAAGATCTTCACGTAAGGGTCGTTTTCGATCCTTAGCTGGGCAAAAAAATTTGCGCCTTCGTAAGGAGATCCATTTTCTTTAACTAGGCTGTAAAACGAGAACAAACTATTTCAATCTTCCTCACAT